GGTCCTATTTTTTTTTTTTTTTTTTTTTTTTTTTTTTTTTTTTTTTTGATGTGGAGTTTCAGTAATTCTTGCCAGCAGCTTTTCTTTCCTCAAGGTCTTTATCCCATCTTTTTCAGCTTCTGATATGTCCCTCACTTTCTTAGTTCCTGGAGATCCTCAGCTGACTCAGTAGCAGAGCACTTGCCTTTCATGTGGAAGGCACCTTGGTGTCTCCAGCTAGGACTAGGGAAGCTTTCTACCTGAAACACTGGAGACCTGCTGCCAGCCAGTGTTGATAAATGTAAGCTAGATTAACCATTGGTTTGCTACAGTGTAAGACAATTCCTGCAACTGAATTTTCACATCACTGTGGAATGTCAATGAGCCACCAAATAGTATCTGCCTACATGCAAACATGGGTTGGTGGTGCCTAATGAGCAAAAACTGTAGTTGTAGTAATTTGCTCCAGCCTTGAATCTCCACATCTCTGTTTCCTTGTGTCCCTGCAATGGTGTACATTTATGTTTACAGAAAGGAACTGTAATGACCAGATAGGCAGCTGTTCAACTGATAGTTGAACAATTTGATAGTTATGCCCAAAACCTGACGTTCTGGTCAGTTGAGCTTCCTTTCAGATTCAACCCTCCCTTTGTCTCTGTCCCTTTTCCTGTCTCCTTAAAGCAAAGATAGGGATTTCTGTTGCATTTTTCCTTTCACTCGGTAACAATTTATCCCAGGAACCTGAAGTCTACAGAATACAAAGATTCTTCCCCCCCACAAGCTCTTGTTAAATAATGTATATGTATCTTGAGAGCCACAGCTTAGTGTTGCGGATAAATACAAGTTCCTTGGTGTGCTCTTACGTTTTCTGAAATGGCATTCTGTGAGATCCCTGATGATGTTGCTTCCTGGAGTTATTCTTTGTATTTTTAAACATTAAACTGTCTTTTCAGAAGTGCTGGTGCATGGAGGATTAACTCTTTAACTGAGGAAATCCTGTAACTCTGTGGAAGGAGATCTCACTGTCACAGTTTTGTTTTTGCTCCCCCACCACCGTATTCTTATAAGTGCACAATGGTATGCAGAAAGATGTTGTGCAACCTGTTTCCTATTGTTCATCTCCCAGTGATCTGTCTGTCATAAAGACAACTTATTGAAATGTGTTCTCTGAAAAGCAGCACGTGGTATTTGAACCCAGTATGCTTGTTTGCTTTCAGTATATTGTGTTCTGTCGAATAGGTACCCATCATGACATTAATTATGCATATGATGGGGTCACTGTGGGACTAAAACTAGCACTTGTTCTGCCATAAAATGTGACAAATTTTATTACTGCCACCACCAAGTTCACCAGCATGTTTTTGAAGATGATTATATCGCCTCCATCCTAACACCTGTGGTGCCTTTACTGGCTGTCAGAAAACTAGTTTATACCTTCTGGTTGTTGAAAGTCTCTTAGGTTCTTCAAAAGCAGTGATTTTTTTTGTGTTTTTTGTTTTCTAGGAGGAGAAATAGGGCACAAGCACATCATGGACAGCGTAACTTTCATTATTTCAGATGGAGAAGCTGGAAGAGTGGATGGCTGTTGTGCTGATGAAATTCTCCCGCCCCCTGTACCACTTCACCTTAACCTCCCAGTCTATGATCTGAACATCACAGTGCTGCCTGTTAACAATCAGTGGCCAGCCATTGAAATGGGTATGTTTTTGCTATACTTTTCCTAAACGTTAAGGCTGACAGACATTGCTCTTCACTGAGTAAATTGAGCTATTAAAACTGTGTGTGTCTGTTGTGTGTTGTATATAATTCAGTAGGATGCAGATTCCAACCAGAACATTTTTAATACACACTTGGATACCTTTGACAGAAGTGGTAGCAATTTGGAGCAGATGACTTTAAAGTGGATTTGGAGTCAAGCAGAAGGCTTTGCCAGTCTCCTTGAACTGGACTTCCAACATTATCCAAATGTTACTGTATAGAAATTGCAACAATTTAGGGGCACACACTGGATCCATGCATATAGTCCCACCTGAGTCAAATGGGCAATGATCCAATTAACACAGTACCACTAATCCTGATTAAAAGTACCTCTTAGTAGAGGTTCCCTGTGGTCTTTGGCAGGGGTCTTCCTTAGTTTTGTCACCTTTTAACTAGTGTTGGAACTAGGGCCCTATACGTATACATCTATACAATCTTTATTCGGGTAGAAAGCTATAGCATTTCTTTTTTAACCTCTCCAGGTTAAGTTATAGTGATGCCACTCTGTTTTGTTTCTGAGCTTCACACTGGCAAGACACAATGCAAGTGAGGGTGGGACGTCCATAGCTCCCATAGAAGGAGAATACTTGGAAAAACTCAACTGGTGCGGAACAGTGAGCAAGGTCACTGGCAACACAGCTCCTTTCCATCTGTACAGGAGCTCTCTCAGTAGAAGGAATTTACCAACTTGCTTTTCTCTGGCTTTTTCTCATTGCCTTACAGCTCTTCAATTTTGTAGTTTTCGTTCTTTTTAAAAAGCAGGTTATTTCTTTGTGCTTATTAATGAAACAAAGGTGTGCTTTCTTTACTAGTTAAATACAACTCACTCATTTCATAGTGAAATTAAATGCATCCTCCATGTCAACACTGGAACCTTGCTATCATGCCTGTCTCTAGAGAAAAAGGAGCATTGTCTGTTGCCTAGAGCAGGAGAAGTTGCTGGTAGTTGGTACATCTCAAAGATTAACCCCTATGCATGCCTAAATGTGCAATTACATCTGTGTTAAATGTCTTGCCATTTTCAAAGTGGAAAACTCAGTTAAAGCGAGCACATTAATTATTGGAGTATATGCAGGGAATTAAAAGTTAAAGTATGTATGATACAGGATGCTATCTTCTTTCTCAGGTTCACAGTTTTGATACAGGGTAACTAGACAAAGCCCCTTCACAGATTGCTGCCTTGTCGTGGCGAAAGGGCTTGAGTAATTCAGAGAAGCTATGGGCTATGCCATGCAGGGACCCCCAAGATGGACAGGTCATAGTGGAGAGTTCTGACTAAATGCAATCCACCTAGAGCAGGAACTGGCAAGCCACTCCAGTATCTTTGCCAAGAAAACCCCATGAACAGAAACAAAAGGCTAAAAGGATAACTTATTTTATTTGGTGTTGGAGAAAGACTGGCTCCTCTTTTCATTTCTACCACTATCCTATTCACTTTTATTGGAGGGGCCATACTGGTGCCATTGAAGGCCTAAATTGCTTTCGAGGTAGAGGTAGGAATTAAGTGCAATACAGTAGGACCCCTATATCCACTGTTTAAGTTACCACCGTTTCATTTAATCATGGCTGACTGCAGTCCAAAATGAAAAGCAGCCCTTTCATCTCCTCTTTGGGCCTGGGAGCAGTGATGCATTCTCCTGGTGGCTGTTTTGAGGAATGGAACTGTAGCTGCTGGCTCAAATGCACCTAAGCACCTTGTTCCTCGACATCGGTGCACTTATCATTTGCATTTGCAAGGCAATGTTTGCAGTTTCAGACATCTGTGTGGCATGGGGGCTTGGAATCTATTCCCCCCTCCCCTCAGGACACATGGGTCCTACTGTAGATTATCTGCCCTGCAGTGTTTGATAACTTTCTTTCATCCATACACATGTGAAGAACACAAATTTGATTGTGCTCTGATAAAGGCAGAGACAGAACTTTGAGAATTCTGTATCCCTTAAATAAGAATGCCCATTCCCAATTGGGAGTTCAGTTCCCACTGCAGGTAGAGCCAACCTGTGTGGCTTTGGGCAACCTGCAAAGCCCCAGGTCATCCTGAGAAGAAGGGAATGGTAAACCACTTCTGAGTACTCTACCTGGAAAACCCTAGAAAAGAGTCGCCATAGGTCAGAATTGACTTGACAGCACATGATGATGGTTATTAATAGTAGGCATCCTTCAGTCTCTAGAGACTATGGTAACGTGTTCTGAATGTCTTGGAACAGCCTCTAATGTGGTTGTGAAAGCCAGTTTGAGAGTGACAATCCCTTCCACACTGAAGACAACTACAATCTGTCCCCTGTCCAGCTCCCTGATTTTGCTGGTTTCGGGACTGCCTTTTTGCCTCAGCCTGCTGGACAAGGGTCTCTTCAAATTGGGAGAGACCATGATGCACCACCTGCCTCCAGGTTGAACGCCCAGATGTCAAAGTTTCCCATCTCTTGAGGTCTGTTCCTAAGGCCTTCAGATCTCACTTGCAGATATTGTATCACAGCTGTGGTCTCCCTCTGGGGCACTTTCCCTGCACTAATTCTCCATACAGGAATTGGAGGATCGCCTGGAATCTGACCATCAGCCATTCTCACGACATGCCCGAGCCAATGTAGATGTCGCTGTTTCAGTAATGTATACATGCTGAAAATTCCAGCTCCTTCCAGGACTACTCTATTTGGAACTTTGTCCTGCCAGGTGATATCAAAAATGCATTGGAGACAACGCATATGGAACATGTTCAGCTTCCTCTCCTGCCGTGCACAAAGGGTCCAGGAATCACTGCAGTACAGGAGTGTACTCAGGGCACAGGCTCTGTAGACCTGGATTTTGGTGCCATCAGCTTCTTATTAAGCCATATTGTCTTTGTGAGTCTAGAGAACATGGTAGCTGCTTTGCCGATGCATTTATCCAGCTCGACATCTAGGGAGAGAGTGTCGGAGATCATTGAGCCAAGGTACACGAAATCATGAACAACCTCCAATTCTTGTGCAGAGATGGTAATAGAGGGAGGCGAGTCCACGTCCTGACCCATGACTTGTGTTTTCTTCAGGCTGAGTGTTAATCCAAAATCTTGGCAGGCCTTTCTAAAACGATAGTTGTTGGTGGTCTTCAGCAGAATGGGTGACAACAGCTGCATCATCGTCAAAGAGGAAGTCCCACATGCATTTCAGATGGACTTTGGTCTTCGCTCTCAATCTAGAGAGATCAAAGAGCTTTCCATCTGATCTAGTCCGGAGATAGACACCTTCTGTTGCAGTTCCAAAGGTACTTCAGCATGACAGCAAAAAAGATCCCAAACAGGGTTGGCGCGAGGACACAGCCCTGTTTCACTCTGCTTTGGATGTCAAAGGGATCTGATGTTGAGCCATCAAAAACTACAGTGCCCTTCATTTCCTCATGAAAGGACCTGATGATGTTAAGGAGTCAAGGAGGACATCCAATCTTGGGAAGTATTTTAAAAAGGCCATCCCTGCTAGCCAAATAGAAGGCCTTTGTAAAATCTATGAAGGCCACATGAGTGGCTGTCATCGTTCCCTGCATTTCTGCTGCAACTGTCTGCGGAAAAATACTATGTCAGTGGTGGATCTATTAGCTCAAAATCCACACTGTGATTCTGGATAGAGTCTGCCTGCGAGCACCTGGAGCCTCTTCAGCACAATACGGGCAAGCAGCTTCCCTACCACACTAAGAAGAGAGATGCCACGGTAGTTATTGCAGTCACCCCTGTCTCCTTTGTTCTTGTACAATGTGATGATGTTTGCATCCTTCATGTCCTGTGGTACTCCACCTTCCCTCCAGCAGAGATGAAAGATTTCATACAGCTTAGTAGTGATAGTCCCTTTACAGCACTTCAGCAGGGATGTTATCCTTCCCAGGTGCCTTGCCGTAGGCGAGGGAATCCAAGACCGCTTTTATTTCTGCTAAAGTTGGTGCGCTGTCCAACTCTTCCAAGACAGGCAGGCACTCTATGTTATCTAATGCCTCTTTGGTTACTACCTTCTCTCTGGAATATAGCTCAGAGTAGTGCTGCACCCTGGATGATCACGCCTGCCTGTAGCAGACAGCAAAGGAGCAGATTTCTTCTGTATTGGATCTAGAGCCTGTTTGATACCATCATACATTCCCTTGATGTTACCTGTGTCCACTGCTATCTGTATCGGACAGCAGACCTGAAGCCAATAATTGTTAGAACAACTCCTGACAGTCTGTTCGACTTTGCTATGAGCAACTCGAAGAACCTTCAAGTTGTACTCACTAGGACAGGCTTTGTATGCTGCTAGAGTTCTCCTCTTTTCTTTGATGGCTGGCATCAGCTCCTCTGAATGGGCTTCAAACCAGTCTGCCGTCTTTTTGGTCTTCTTGCCAAATGTGGACAAGGCGGTGTTATAAACAGCATTCTTGAAATATTCCCACCATTCAGGTGCATTTGCACCAGCCAGGCCTGGAAGAGTTTCCTCAAGCGCTTGAGCAAATTCCTCCACTTTTCTCTGATTGCGAGTCTTGCTGATGTCAATACGTGGTCTTCCTTTCTTTTTCATGTGATACAATCTTTTATTCACAGTTTTACTCTGCTACAGAGAGTGATCGGTATCATAATCATCACCCTGATAACTGTGTGTGATCATAATACTAGGAAGTCTAAATTGTCTAGTGAGGATCTAATTGAGCTGATGCCAATGCTTTGATCTTGGATGTGTTGAAGAGACTCTGTGTTGAAGCTTCGTATTAAAGAATGTGTTGCTGACACAAAGACCATAATAACAGCAAAACTCCAGCAAGCGTTGGCCATTTTCATTCATCTTCCCAATGCCAAAATAGCCTAGACAAGTGGGCCAAGAATTGTGATCAGCACCAACTGTAGCGTTAAAGTCTCCAAGAATGAACAGAGGCCCTCTCTCAGGGATTTCTTTGATAGTAGCTGCCAGACCATCATAGAATTTGTCTTTGACTTCTGCTGTAGACGACAGTGTTGCTACATAAGGGTGACCAGTCCTGCTGATGAGTGGAGCTACAAAGACAGGATTCTTTCACTCCCTGCAGTAATCGAACAATGGATCTCAGCAGAGTATTTCTAACCACAGAGCCAACACCATATTCCCTGGTCTCATTCAATGGTTTTCCCTTCCAGAAGAATGAGAATTTGTTTTTCTTTAACAGATCCCAGGTCTGGCAACCTCGTCTCTTGCAGTGCAACAATGTCCATCTGCAGCCTACTCAGTTCCGTGTCAATGACAGCTGTTTTGTGCTCGTTGTCTATTTCCTGCAGGTCATCAGAAAAGCCAGGGGTCATTGCCTGAACATTCCAGGTGCCCAACTTTAGGGAAGAAGTTTTCTTCTGATTGTTGCATGGTGCAGGGTTAATGATCTGCTTGTCAGCTTTTACCCTATACCCCATGTACCCTGTGAGTTTACCAGACTGTTGCAAAGCAGCACATTGTTGGCTGGGGGCTGCCCAGCTTAAGGCAGGTGGTAGCTACCTAGTGAGGTGCAATGACCTCTCCCACCATTGGAAGTAGCCCCTGGCATCATGCTCTACACCGAGCAAAGATTTATAACCAGTAACTGTTACTTCCCGTGTTGTTTCGACGCTGTTTGGAAGGGGTGGAGATGGAAAGGGAGAGGAAAGGAGTTTGGAAAAGGATTATTAATAAGAAAACTGCAAACTGTGGATAACCACAGAAACATAACAACTCAGTGGCACAACAGAGTTTAAAAACAGGAGCATTTGGTCTATATTGGAAGTTCATACAGAGTGGAAAAATATACGTTCATAGAGTTTGGAAATGTAATTGGAGAACAGCATGACAAAACTACCATACATTCACTCCCGAGCATAAGGGCAAGGAAGTAAAATTTGCCAACTGAAAGGAAATGGGGGAATGTAATCTAAGATTTATGAAAAATAAACATTGCCTGGTTGGATGTAAGAACCACAACAATGCTAAATAAATAAATAAATAATTCCAGCCTTCCCAGTGGCAATCTAGCAGTTACTGATAGTGGAGAATGTGTGCGGTGATCCTTCAGAATCCTAAAAGTGACTGGAATCTTTAAAAAACTATTTCTTTCCTAGCATTTCAGCAACACAATGAGAAAACAAAAAGGATTTGGGGGAAACAATAATGGTGCGGCCTCAAGATGATTCCAGTTTATACTAACCCTTATGCTGGGCTTTCTAAGTTTAGAGAACTCAGAAGTGATTTATCATTCCCTTCAAAGGTGCTGTTGCCCAAGGCTGGACCAACACACACCATGTCTTAGATTCTGATTCTCAAGTTAAATTCTTTGTATCTAATGTGTTCAGGACCACAAGATATTGACACTACAGTATGAGGCATCCTTGGGAATATACTGTGCCAAAATCAACTGAGTAATTTGTGAACAGAACAAATTTAGAATTAGACTATCCATATCAATGTTATATTATTTTGCCTCCTTATCTGACAACACTGGGGAATTTTGAAACATTGTTCCAGTGGCTGAAAAGAAGCTTTGGTTCAAGGATAAGGGACCTGGAGCTCTCCAGATGTTGCTAGACTTCAGCTCTCATCAGTTCAGACCATTGGCCATGATGGATGAGCCTGGTCAGGTTTGGAATTGGACAACATCTGGAGGCACATGGGTTTACATGGAAGAAGGAAGCCTTAAAAGGAGATTTGAATGCCATGGGATGTTCTTTTTCATGTTCACAAAAGAGTGCACTTTTGAGTCCGATAAGGAAAATTCATACTGCTTTGAGTAGTTTTGTTGCAGGTAGCTTGATAATCTACTGACATGAAACCATGGCTCCATCCTATGAAATCTATGGATCTGTAGTTTGGTGCGGGGCTTAGAGTTCATTTCTAGAGTGCTTTAGTGCTATAATTCTTGGGAGTGCACTAGACCTGCAGCTACCTCACCAAATTACAACTCTCGGGATTCTCCAGGTGGAATCTTGCTATTTAAATTGGTGTCAAGCTGCTATAGCTGTCTCATGCAGCTGCGCTCAAGGCTGGCAGTCTTCTCTGCATGTTTAGCTTTCTGTTGCAATTTCAGGAAATCAGAACCATTATCCCATCCTTCGTGCCTTGGACTGCAACGAAGTTTTACAAATGGAGTTTAGCTGCCTCAGAGACTGCATTAATTTCAAAGGCCAATATATGGGCATAATACAAACAGGCTGAGAATGGCAGAGGAGACAGGAGGAAAATAATTTGAATTCTCCAACTATCAGCTCCTGATTAAAACCCTCCTTGTTCATTTTACTCACCCTTCTAGCCCTTGAAGAAGAAAGGCCACTTAATTTTTGCCAGCAGCTATAACTGAGTAGAGCTAGACACCATCCCAATAGTGCTGAGCAAGTTATTTTGAGCTGAAGCAAAAGTGTCACTAGTGCTTTTCTCAGCAGCTACTAACCAAATCAATATCCGATTAGGCAGAGCTGCTAGACAGGCAGGCTGTGATGACTTAGCCTCGTCTTAGTTAAAAACAATCAAGGCAGAACTTTAAATCTGAAACAGGGAGGATAATGTTCTCCTTCTGCCTTTTCTCAAGGAGAAATATTTCTGGTGGACGAAGGGTCTTCAGCATGTATCAGTGTAAAATATCTGGGTGCTTCAGATGAAGATTCAAAACCTGAGGAGCTGACATTCTACTTAGAGACAAGTCCTCAGTATGGTTACCTGGAGAACCTTCTTCCTCCACCTGGGTACGAGAAGAACAATGAAGGCATGAATATAAGTGAGTCCCAGACTTGTTGCCTTATTTTCTCTCTCTCTCTCTTTCCCCCCAAAGAACAACAATCGGTATCACGTGTGTGTTCCTTTACAAATAATTTCTGAACTACCATTTCCTCTCTTTGCTTTTCTTTTTAAAGCATATGGTACACATGCACACATTCTTCCTTTCTCGGTCACGAAATTTCAATTTTCTCTCAAGTCCCTGTGAAACCTTAATGGGACTTTCAAGCAGAATTCTGTCTAAAGTAAGACACCAAAAATCTGGAGGGCACAAACTTTTGCTGCAAAAAGGACATGAACTTGCTCATTGGGTATTCTCTGCAGTAAAGTTGTGAATCTACCTGTCCCCAGCCACTCATCCCTGGGCAGAAGGAAATAGAGAATACATGGGCCTGTCACAAAACCAAAATGAGTCTAATGTGTTTAGAGCCAGGTGTTTCTCTCCATTTGTGAATGTTTGTTCCATGTCTGGCAATCTCATGTGTTCCAAATTTAGCCAACAAGGCAGCAAAGTCCTAGGTGCCAAAATCTTTACTTGCAGCTCTGCATTCAAGAGACACAGAAACTCAGTCCCACCTTGTGCAGTGTAGGACTGAACTACATTAATAAGGGATACAGTAATGGAATTTGAAATGCTTGACACTTCCTTTGGATCCATGCCAGTCCCACCTTGTGAAATGTAGGACTGAACTACATTAATAGGGGATGATGGAATTCGAAATGCTTGACACTTCCTTTGGATCCATGCTTCCATAGAAAGTCCTAGCCATTTTGGATCCACTTGATTTTATTGTAGTCCACAGCAGTTGTCCATCTTCAGTTTCCCAGCTGAATCTTGTTACTCATTTAACTCAATTTCTACAGACTTTCTTATTCGTAATCTCACCATTTGATCTGTAGTGAGTGGGTGCATGTCTACATGAGATGGGTCTTCTGAAAGGTGAGAACCAAGTAGGTCTGCCTGGCCCCTGATTATTAGGATGCATATAGTACATGAAGTTTGTGCTAATGCAAACAGGGATTTTTTTTAGTATGTCTCTGATGAACTAACCAAAACTTGTGAGTTTCTTTATATTTAGGGTAGGAAAAGATTCTTCTTGAGGATAAGAATAGTGTGGCCAAGAATGAAACTGACTAATCCTTGTTTAAAATCAGGTCACTCTGTTTGCCAAGGGCATGCATAGGTACTTCAACCTTCACACTGAGCAGAAGAACTAAAGCATCTCCAGTTTCTGAGTCCCTATGTTCAGGAATAAAAAAGGGAGAAATGTTGAGGTTTTAAAATGAAAGAGACTTGGCTAACTCAAAGAGATCATGAACATGGATTCTTTTAATTCATCAGGAATGGAAAACACCTGGGTCTTGCTTTGTCTTGTCTTGACTTCTTGCCAGCAGCTCAGAGACAATGGAAATATATATTTGTAAGGGCTGGGCAATCCCAAGTGATGGATATTCAGTGATTAGCCAGTTCTGCAGCTGTTGTTTATGCATGCACACTGAGTGATTCCTTTAGGCCAATGGTCCCCAACCTTGGGCCTCCAGATGTATGCACACTGAGTGATTCCTTTAGGCAGTGGTTCCCAACCTTGGGCAACTCAAGTATTCTTGGACTGCAACTCCCAGAAGACCTCACCACTACCTGTGCTGGCTGGGGTTTCTGGCAGTTGCAGTCCAAGGACACCAGGGCTACCCAAGGGTGGGAACCACTGCCTTCAGGCATCTCTTTGAATGTAACCTATTCTTGGGTTATGGAAACATGTAAAAAGAAAGTAAGCTCCTTCGCTTGACTCTACATGAGAAATAAATGGAATGATTAAATATTAATTACCTGCTTTTAACTTTGAATGTAACATATTCTTGGGTTATGGAAACATGTGAAAAGAAAGTAAGCTTGTGTAAAATAACTCCTTCGCTTGACTCTACATGAGAAATAAATGGAATGATTAAATATTAATTACCTGCTTTTAACACATTGACTCTCTCCAAAAGGTATGTTCACTTTTCAGAGCCTCAAGGATGGTTATGTCAACTACGTTCAGTCCAAGCACAAGCGTTTAGAACCCACCTCTGATAGCTTCATGGTATCAATTAGTGATGGCCTTCATAAATCCATAGCAATGCCTTTCTACATCATCGTTGTTCCTGTTAATGATGAAATACCGAGGCTGCAACTTAGAAACATAACAGTGAGTCAAATCAGTTTTCCACTGAAATTCCTTCTGTTTGATAAGTAGATTTTGCCTGTCAAAACAGTAATCCCACAGCCTAATATATCATCCTTGTGTAGCAGTTGTCTGCCTATGTAAATTTATGTTTTGTTTAAGTTACAGAAAATATTGTAGAAGATAGCCCCCTCTAATGAAAGATTCCATACAATTGTAGCAGTCCTCACAGTTAATTTTGATGGGGGGGGGTGTTTCTTGTTGATTACATGATGTAAACCTAGTTATGCACAGACCTGATGCTTTTCCATAAGTATGTGATACATTTTGTTCAGCTAGCAGAAAAGTGTTGCTTTTCCGGCTTGTATGATTGCCTATATGGCTCCTTTAGAGCAGTGGTGTGTAAGAGGGGGGAGGGAGAAGGAGGGGAGAGAGCTGATCATATTAATCATGACATCTTCAGTGGGATGGGCTGGATGGTTTGGCATTACTTCAGGTTCATACCCCTAAGGGTGGCACATCTTCAGAAAAAAAATGCTTTATTTTGTTAATGTTACTAGTTTAGTATTACCTCAGGTAAGTGATACTCAGCATTCATTCAGAAAGGCTGCATCTTACTGACTCAAAGCAGAAGAGCCAGCCTGGGGCTTTCCTTACTTTGAGAATGACATGGCAGGTGAGGGGTTGGGGGAGAGACCAGTTTTCACTGATGAATATCCAAAAGAGAGAGCTTCTCACCCAACCTTCCCTTTATCCTTCTTCTGAAAATTCTCCAGTTGCCTTAGCTTTGTTCACCAGCCCTTTCGAAACAAGGGAGCCAGAGTTGTCTGCAGCCTTGGAAGGCAGAACATGCGTCAGAGATGGGAATGGAGGGGGGAAGCAAGATTGTGTCCCACTGCCCAACACAGTGCCTGTCTTGTTCGTAGCTCCAGTGCCTTTTCTTTTTTCATGTCCACACATTCAACCCAGCATCTAAGGCTGAAATGCTTTCTTAAATCCCTGGAGCTTTTTTGGTGGTGCTGGGGATGACAAAAAAAGCTGTGACTTTGTCTGGCGTCTTGTGTGTGCACATTATTTTCTTAAATTTCACTTGGTTGAGACTTCTTGGTCACCTCTGGAGTAGAAAAGGAGAAACAAAAAGAATCAGGAGCCTTTGTTTCCTTTGTGGAAGACACAGAGACCCATGCATATATATCCGTATGCACAGAGATGTGAGGAAAATGAAAAGAGCTTCCATTGGTAGACTCAGCTGTCAGTTCAGTGCTAGAACACAGTTGGAAACTCAACAAATAAAGGAGGCTGGTGAGAAAGGAGAGAAAGATCATGGCAGAGGAGTTTGTGAAGTATTAGGGTGAGAAGTGCACCTAATTTAACCCTCTGCTGTATGGACACTTTCAGTGCCGATTCCCAGGTAATTATACTTTTACTGTGTGAACAGCAACAACAATTGCAGTCAGTACAAAGTACCAGGCTATGCTATAGAAGACTCTCCATCATCCTGGGACAGCCTCCCATCTAGTCACTCACTAAATTGCAAAAGAAAAAAACAACAGATAGTATCCAACTGCTGAAGGTCATTCACTAACTTTAAACATTAAATAAGGGCCATCTGCAAATTGACCTTTCCTACACACCAGACAATTAGCTGATTTATTTTCTAAGGAGAAGATATTGCTCACCTGATTCCTGATTGTAATGCAGGAGGAATACAGCTCATCCAACCTTAGGCTCAATAAAGGGCCACAGATCCTGTTGTGCCAGCAGTGTGTGCAATACCCTAGGGAGGACAATAAAGCCAATCCCTGACATAAGAGTTTGCAAATTTGACTTGGTGAAATGACTGATGAATGGAAGTGGTGGAAGCAAGTATGTCTTTATTCTAGCTGCTTGTGCCAATATTTAGTCACAGTATTTAGCAGGGGCTAGGTACATAGGAATTGAAGCTAGGAAATCCTGTTATTGCAAGGCATTCACCCAAAAACAAATATGGGTGGGGGGTACGTTGAATGAAGTGAGCGATCAGCTGCAATGGATTTGTCCTGAGAGGCAGAGGAAACAGGAGACCTTGGATAGACTAGAGCTGTGGTCCCCAACCTTGGGCCTCCAGATATTCTTGGACTACAACTCCCAGAAGCCTTCACCATCTCCTCTGCTGGCCAGGATTTCTGGGAGTTAAAGTCCAAGAACATCTGGAGGCCCGAGGTTGGGGACCACTGGACTAATGTATGAAGTTCTGCAATCAAAATAACAACTATGAAGCATTCTAAATAGCATCAAAAATACTCCCATGTGATCAAAAGAGCATAAGACCTATATGTGGATCAGGAAGATTTAAATCAGAATAGTTTTATTTCATTTGCTGACATTCTATTGTTTAGTGTAGTAAGTCACAAGTAGAGGAGGCCCATTTGAATCAGTGGGGATTTGGTGTGTCAACTCCTCCAAAAGTTCCATTAATTCAATGGCCCTACTCTAGTTGCCACTTTAAGCAACAGGATTTCAGCCATTAATTGTTTTACATTCTTTATTTAGATTAAAAACTAGTTGAGATATTGAACCTTTTACAGCATATCCGGGACTGGAATTCATTTGAGACTGAGAACTGAGTGGTAAAGGGCCTTTTTCCAGGTTATTTGTCTGATTTAAACCATTTTCTGATGCTGCTGTACACGCTCAGGGGAGATTATTCCAGTGCCCATTTAAGAATTTATGGCTAAATACACATTGCTGTAAATATGTGAATGCATCTGTATCCATTTTGCAAAGTCAGTAAACAGCCACACAAGCTATGACGTGTGGTCTGGCCCTGGCATTAGGATAATAGAACAAGGAAGGGGTTAAAAGAACTGCTGAATAGCTCAATAATTTAGGTTTGTGGCTACAGAGCTAGGCAGTTGGGAACTCAATTTCCCACTGTGCCTCCTTAACAGGGGATGGACTGGATGATCCATAAGGTCCCTTCCAGCTTTCCAGTTCCAAGATGATTATTATAATAAACGGGCTCTGTAATAGTACAGCTTCACATTTTTTAATGTAATATGAATTAGCACAGGTGATTTTAAAATAATGTCTTCTCCCTGGCTTGTATGAATCTGTAGGAGAGAAGGACACCAAAGGAAGATGGCTAAATTCAAAAGTCTATATATGTACAATTATGTGACTTTTTGTAGATTCTTGATGCCCTCGTTTTGAGGGCTTTTAAGAATAAGATGTCACACACACACACACTCAGGTAAGAATCTAGCATGGATATGTATACACAGCATGCTGAACAGAGTAGAATAATAAACTAAAAGGGAGTATAAATGAAATAATTAAAAATTAGACTAGAAACCAGAAAAATAATGGAAAAGAGAACAGCACTGGAAGCCTAGTGGGTTTTTATTTGTAGACGTGACATCATAATTGCCTGTCTCTTGTAAGTACAGAAACCACTACAAACACTCCATATTTAGAGTGAAGGGAGGATGTTTCTTGTCAGCTTCCATGGCACAGAATGAAAGCTCTGTCAATCTGGGCCTCCATATGTGGTTCTCAGCTGGTGCAAGTCCCTGAATGAGAAACATGTGAAGAGATAAATGAGTGCTGCACACATGGTGGCTGAACTTGAAAGCAGCTGAAATTGCACCTGAGAATATTATGTACTGGATTGTGGAATGTTTGAAGATGAATAGAAGCTTGAACCCTTCTTAATGTATTGCATTGATGGCAGTTCAAGGGAGTACAGAATTATAAATACATGTGATTGAGGTAAGAGAGAGATAACACGTGCCTCTTTTAACTGAGTAGCGCACTGCATCTGCCTTGAAAGAAACACACCCGGTACATTCCTACTGAAATTTTCAAAATAAACTATCTAGACACTTGACACATTTTCCCGTAATATACACTTTATGTACAAAATGCAGAAAAGTCAGTCTCACATATGCACAGAATCTGTTGCAGAGTTTTGAATTTATTTATTTTTTTTAGGGTTAAATTTGTCTAGCTGTGCATAGGAAGTGCAGGGATTCACAGAGCAGAATAGCTTCAAGTCTCCCCCCCATTTTTTTAATCAACTGGCACTTAAATTCTCAATAATACACTGAGACATTACTAGTAGAAAGAATAAAAGGCTTTATTATTTAAAATTGAACAGATCAAACAGGAGAAGGAACAAAACATGGCTTTAAGCAACAGGCCTCAACAGACTCACTGGTTTATTCCAACAGACAAAAGTGAGGGAAAGAACACTGAGCAGAGAGGCGGAACTCTTTTTGAAATCAGAAGCAGGAATGGAACGATTGGTTAATGCTTGATAGATTGATAGTCACTCCAGCCCAGAAAGGTCCCTCCTAGCCAAACCTACTAGAGGCAGCATACAAGATTGCAAAAACTCCAACAGAGGAGTAGTGAGGAAAAAGATTGCTTCATATATTGTTGTTGGATGCCACCAAGTCCCTTCTGAAAAGCTATGTCCCAAAGATTTACATACTGTTTCCTCAGATCCACCATCTGTTTAATCTTCCAGTGTGCAACCAAGACCATTCCAGCAGCAACATAAGTGTAGTGTTTCTTTTGCCTCAAGAACTATTTTAACATAATCATTAAAAATATTTTAGTATCTATACTAATTTTCTCTCCTAGAATCCTTTTTATTGCTTCCAAGATTTGCTTCCAATGTTTCTCAGTTTCATTACAGTCCTACCAAGAACGAATCACACCACACCTCTTTTATCAACATTCTTGAATCCTTGGTTCATTTTGAACAATTTCACTGGAATAATAAACCAGTGAATTATCCCTTTAATGATTCTCACAATGTTGAAGCAACAGGACTGCAGATTTCTGGAACTGCAAGTACAGACCCAGGGAAGACAGGATCTGTGTTTTCCATTTGCGGTCTGGAGTGGCAATTAAAATCCTTGTGAAAGACATCATTTTCTGTGGCTAGGTTTTGAGAAAGGATATGATATCAATTAAAATCCAAGCAGAATTCAGAGTATATATTTCCATGGGACTGATTGTATAATAGGAGTAGTTTGGCGCTATGATGAGAGCAGTTATGGCTTGGAGCAGAAACCATCCTCTAGCGAAACCAGGTACTATAATGTCATACTCTGCATATCTCACTCAGTGCTTTCTTTCTGTATAATGAATTACTATGTCTCATGTGGTAGTGACGTACTAGGGTCTCTCCCTTCAGGTGAGAGGGGGAGGCATGCATATATACATCTACCTATACTGTACAGGTGTGTGTTTTTGCTTAAATCAACAACTTTCCCTTGACAAGAGGGGAGGTGGCATTCGATCTCTTGGAACTGTTCTTTTCCTCAGGCCATGCTCCTTTGTAGTTGCATGTTCTGTGAGTATGAGAAGGTACTGCATGTCAGTACAGTTCCTCCAGGCAGGGAGGACCTCTATTTGTCCAAATGACCTTTGCTAGGAGAGGATCCGTGCATACACCACAGTATGAACAAATAGCTCAGTAGTTTAGGAGGTTGGGAGTTCGATTCCCAACTGCCTCCCTGACAGAGGTTAGAACCAATGATTTATAGGGTCCCTTCCAACTCTGCAGTTCCGTTGTTGTTGTTGTTGTTGTTGTTGTTGTTGTTGTTGTTGTCGTCGTCGTCGTCGTCATCATCATCATCATGCTTACCAGAGCTGGTATTCATATATAATAAGAGTCATGTTCCATTCTAACATATCTGTTTATAATTGCTGTGTCAGGGGAAAAAAATCTGTGAAGCAAACCTAAATGTATTTTGGAATATCTGGGCTGCAATCCTATGCATGCATAAAATTGTACTGCTGAACCCTTGTACATCTATAAACATAAGAAAAGCACAGCTTTGATACAGTTTGGTCTTCTCTCATGCTGCTGAATCTGTACCCAGACAGTTTGATTTGGGATCATTAGTATGTTCTCCTCTTCCCAGTTTGATTTGTTAGAAGGAAAAAAAGAGGGGGGGAAACACCCTCTACTTTCTAATGGAATCAAACCAACATACCAGATGAGCCATGTAACTAGGTATCTGAATTGTTTAGACACATTGGTTTGCTTCTTCATGACATGAAAGTAAACAATCCACAAATAGAGAAAAGAGACAGCTCCACACTTAGTATTATACGTTAGTCGAAGTGCAAAAAACCAGGGTGGGACATATGCAGTATGGCTTCTTTTTAAATAAATATGTGTGCATATGTTGGGGAGCAGGCAAGGTAATGCTTTGCCAGGAGTTTTCTTATTTATCATACAACTCACTTGATGAAAACAGAACAAGTATAAACTAATTGGGGTGTTATACTGGAGCTGTCCAACTGCAAAATAGGGGGGGAAAACAGAGCTGAAATGAATCTGAGGTGGTGGGAAAAGAGAGGCTGAAGCACATTTTCCTAACACATGTAGTTGCAAATACTCAGAAGTGATTAAAATCTACAATTATTCATGCTATGTATAAACCTTTTAGAGGGGAAACGCTGTGGCACTGCTGAAACAAGTAGGCTGCTGCATAAAATACTATTAAGAGAATGGTCAAATGCTTCTTGCATGGTTAGGCAATCACATACATTAGCATGCGATGGATAATGTCTGTGGTGATTTCTTAAACTGAGGTGATTTGCTTCCAGAGTTATGCTATTTGCATTACACTGACGTAACTAAACAACAGAATTTTGGCCAATGTAATACACAATTTCAAAATCAAATGTAGTCTAGGTGTAAAAATCTGCTGATGCAATAGTGAAGAAAAGACTAAGGTTATTTATGAAAAAGTGGTTTTAGTATATCATGTATTTTAAAAATTGTAAAGAGCTTTGAAGGGAAAGGATGACTCAGGTGTGCTAAAGACAAGCAGAAAAATATAAATTGCAGTGTTGAAGAACCGGATTGATAAAGGGCCATCTAAGATGCAAAGCAGAAATTGATAACGTTCAATTTCCCAATCATTTATAAGTCCGATTTTTTCCCCTTTAAATGACTTCTACTTTAGACAACTGTTTCTAGCATATTTACTCACTTTTGAAAATTCAAATTACATTTTTAGAAGGTTTTTTAAAAATCAGTTTGCTTGATGACATTTCTTTCACTTCTTAATTTTGGAGTTTTCATTGTCATTTTTGACAGTTGTGTTTTCCTATAGGTAATGGAAGGTGACATTAGAAGAATGGGACCTAACACCATCAATGCTGAAGATTTTGATGTCCCACAAGATTTCTTGAGATTCTACATTGCTGCTCCACCACAACATGGGTTGATACTAAATGGGATTTATGGCAGAGAAAATGAATATTACAAGCAAATAAGCACTGCTACATTTCATCCAGATTTAGAAGTTCACAGCTTTACTTTGGAGGAACTCAAACAAGGTTGGGGAATCATTTTGTTATCTGGCTTTTGGCCAGAACAATAGATGCTCTCATCATTGGGGGTGGGGGCGTTTAAGCTATATATGGTGGAGTCTAGTGCACTTTTGGAAAGAACCACCATGGACGTTTTGCCCACAGGCAGGTAACTCCAGGTTCCCTCTTTGCTGGGTAGAAAGAGCAGAGTAGCAATTTGTTACAGGGACCTATGATGATTGCCTCCCTCTGCTGCTCTTGGTAGGAGTTCAGCTATTTCTTTTGCCTGAGATACCAGACTGAAACGCTGCTAGAAGGAAGGTAGGACCATGATGGACCTTGGCATCAAACAAGTAACCTCTATAGAAATAGTTCCTGTAATAAATTAGAAGACTCACCTTTGGCAGTCATGTGGAGTCTGCAAATGAAAGCACACAGTCTATCTGAACTGACCTTGCATATTCTAGAATCCTCAGTTCACTTGCAGGAAAATGTGTGTTAATTTTCTTTCAAAGAAAAATTACTGCCTTTGGACTTAGGTGACATGAGAAAGAAGGCAATTGTGCATGTACTCTGAAAAATATGTGTACTTCTCTGTTGCATTTCCCTGATTTATGAAAAATATGCATGGTGCGTTTTTTTTTCTCCTTCCACTCTCATCAATCTAGAACTCAAGGTTACTTACTGAAATTGTAAGTAATAGAATCAGAAGGGACAAATTAAAGCACTGCTTAGTGTGATGCATTGTTAATTGCTCAACCTCACTGCCAAAATGTGTGATGATGGCCATAGGCTTAGCTAAGTGGCTTTAGAAACAGGAATAAACAACTTGGCGGAGGAAGAAGTCTATCAGTAGGGTGCAATTGTTCTTGATAAATTGAAGCCTACCTTCAGAACATCTGTTGTTAGCAAGTGGAGGACCATACCACGGGACAGCTGTTGCCTTCATGCCTAGCTATAGGCTTTGAAAAAAGCACCTCACCGATCACTGTTGAAAACAAGGTGCTAGATTAGGTGGACCTTGATGGGACAAGGCTTACATTATGTATTAAATTCAAAGGAAGATCAAGTAGCAGTTCTGAGCATTCCTGAAGAAACCACCCCTAAGCAGCAGAGTGGTTGAGGCTACTTAAGCTCACCGAAGCAGTGTTTAGATGGCAGCAAAGAGGCCTTAAAAGGCAACAGTCTCATGTTCTTGCTAAGTGGAGGTCCATACTTTTTGTATGTGTTTCTGTATTACTGTAGGGATAACTGTAACTTTCTCAATGCGCAAAGGTGGGTGTGATTGGAGTAACTCGTGCAAATAAAATAATTAGGTAAAATAAGAAGAAGGTGAGTGGCTTATAAGTAAACAAAGAACAGCTAAATTAGCAAAGACATTTATATTACGTATTCTGGAAATGAGAGTGGGAGTATTTGCTCAGAAAAAAAGACAGCTCTGAGACATGTGAAATTAGCCACTCTTCCTGAATGTAAAACAGAGAACAAGGATGTACATAAATCAGGCTTGTGTGAATTTGCAAGGGGAAGGAGTCAAAATCATTGGTTCTGAATATTTTACAATAACCGCTTATCAGCCTTTTAAACTTTCTTTTTGCAAGAAACACAATTTATGTTGTATGAGCAGCGGATGTCCTCTACTGGAAACCTCAGTTAATTGCAGGAAAGTATTCTCAAGAAAGCAGATAAAAGATTTCTTGTCCCATTGGTTTCTCTGTGCAAAAGGCTTTTAAAAAAGCCCATAGACAGATGTCCCGTAGCAAGACTGGTATTGACCCAGACTCTTGCCTTGGCAAGAATTTTATAAGACCTGAACATTTTCCCATTCTTTATCTTACTTAGCCTTCAAAGGTTTATGTATAAGTTATGTATAGTAAATTTCCGGTATAACTCTTTTAACCTTTTGTGGCTGAATAGGTATCTCAAAAAGGAAAAGCAAGTGTAAGCAAATGCTGTAGTGGAGAGTCTGTAGCCTCATCTAGTCATGGTGCAGACTGCAGCATAGGAATGGCAAATAGTGCTTGTCCTGTATCTGGGCACCTGCGTCTTGCAAAGTGGAGCCAAGTGCTGTGGATGAGCAGAGCAGTTTGGAAGTAAGACGAGATGAGAAATCTTTTGTTGAATTTTGAACCTATGTTGATTTAAAAATCATACTCCTCTTTGAGCCGAGACATTTTGTTCCCTGGTTTCATTTCACTGAAAGATGAATACAGGGCTAGAGCACCTTGCTTGTACCTTGTCTTTTTGAGGAAGGAATATGAAGTTATACTGCTATAATATCTTAGGCTAGTGCTAGAAAAAAAATGTGACCATTCAGATGTTGACAGTGCTACTCCTAACAGTCGTCTTCGTCGACCAGACTGACACAGAGTGATGGAGATGCAAGAACCACTGAGAAAGGATAGGATGGCATGATGCAGGTGCATGTAAAAAGCAAGTGAACAAAGCATAGCCATTGCATGCTAAATTTCTGAGGTTGAAATACTCCTTTTGGGGGAATTAAAAATAATCAGTGTTTCTTTGGATTGGGCTCTGAAATGCATGGGCATCAAACCTATTTTTCCAAGCAAATGCAGCTGGGACAAATGTCTTCTTGAGAAGCCCGTGTTGCAAGGTGTAATATGTTCCTTGCAAACCATGCTTCTCAAGATGTCAACTGCACATTTTTTAAAAACAGCCCCAGTTCCAACAATCCCATTTGCCTAATTTTTGGAAGCTTACTTCTCTTAGTACAAAAGGATCAAAAAGTATGGGTGGAGATCCAGGGCCGAGGGGACTCCACTACTCACTATTGCACTGCTGCAAATTGGAGAGTTTCCATCTCAGAATCAATGAAGCATAACTTTTCCCCTTAAAGGGTCAGCACATCTCTATTGCTGTGTGATTGCAGATCTTCTCCTGCAAGTGGGGCTCTCGAGCTGATGGAGGAGTCTGGAGATGTGACACCATGGTTCCTAAAAGATTTCCTGTGCAGGTTAATAATCATTTGATATTCATAGGTAAAAGTGAGACACAATGCAAATGCATGGCTTCAGAGAGTCTGACACAAAATAGCTTGGCTTTCTGAGTCTGATTGCTAAGCTAAACTCTTGTTTATGTGAACATGGTTTCCTCATAAAATTGCTGTTTCAACTCTTAAATCTCAGATATGACATGTTGCTAGGATACTGATGTGTCAGCGTGAATAAGTCTGACTTGTTCTTGTCTAGTAATCCAAGCTGGTGATTCTAGCTCAGAATATCCAGACATAAAATCAGTTAACATACTTACAGGTCTGAAGTTACCTCTAAAATCTATTCCCCTCCCTTAAATATCAAAGGCTTAATCCTTAATAGATTCACTAATTAACATTTGTGAGCCCTCCTTGACACCAGATTTCATAAGCAGACATGTTCTTCTTAGGTTCCTCTGCTTTTCATGTCCAGCACTTACAAGCACTTCTGAATTACTCACGTTCTCTATATGACGGGTCACTAGTGATTTCTGTGTGTAAGGGGAGGTGTGTTTGTGGATGTGTTGATGTTTTTCTGCACCAAACATGTTCTCCTCTCTGATCATTCTAGATCTTTTCATTTGCATAGAGGAAAGCCCCGATTAGTCTGCTCCATGCACACCTCAGAACTCTGCAACCTACTAGTGAGGGGTGGAGAATGCATGGCCTTTAAGATTTATTTATCTCCACTTCTGCACCACCCCATTAGTGTTGCTGCCACTCTCTGGATAGTTCACAATCACAATATAAAATAAAATCATGAAACCCTATATAATAAATGCAAAAATACAGTTAACCCTGTTGGTTGCTAAAAACGATACTTAAATGAAAGTACACAAATATTGTCCTGTTTGAACATCTTGGAACAATATTTACATTAGTAGAAGCTTTATATAATTTGGTCTTTAATAGCTTCCTAAAAACAGAGAGGGATGGTGCCTGGAAAACCTCGGTAGGAAACTTATTCCAGAGGGAAGGGGCCATAACTGAGAAAGCTTGGTTCCTTGTGTTGACTTTTTTTTCCCTGTCTCCTTAGATGTTACAGTTCTTAACATCAAGGACTGTGAGGAGCATGTGGGATGAGTAGCTATTTTGTGAGAGATACATTCCACCAGATATTGAGGTCCTGAACCATTAAGGGGTTTATAGGTTATGACTAGCACCTTGAATTCAGCATGGATACTGACAGGAAGCCAATGAAGAAGGCGTGTCAAGACTGGGGATCTCTGTTCCCATCTCCTGGTGCCTGTAAATCAATCCGGCAGCTGCATTTTGGACCTGATGAAATTTCTGTACTGATTTCAAGGGCAGCCCTTATATAGAAAATGTTATAGTAGTCTGTCTTAGACATTACTAGTGTGTGAACCTTTGTTGTTAGGGTTTTTTTTCTCTAGTTTGGGGCGCAGCTGGGAAATCAGCCAACGCTGATAAAAGGTACACTTGATCATAGCCAGTATTTGTGCCTCCATTGAGACATCTGGGTCCAAGAGTATTTCCAGGCTGCAAACTAGATCTTTCAGAGGGAGTGTAACCCCAATGAGGCCAGGTATATATCTCTCTGACGGGTCCAATGATCCTTCTAGCAGTAAAATCTCTGTCTTATCTGTCTTCAGTTTCCATTTGTTGGCCCTCATCCAGTCTATTATCAATGCCAGACCCACACAGCATCACCTGTAGTTGTTTCAGATGAATTGCTATTCTTCACTGAATCAAAGACGACAGACATTTGGAATGCATTTCTCCCTGATAAATGTCAGGCTTTTTTATTTTATTTTTTTGGTCAGAAAGGAAGATGAGTGAACCATACCAAACCCAAGTCTCAGTGCATATGAGAGTTGCTGAGCTGGCACAAAGTATCCCATACTGTATAAGTAGTTGAAGGCAACTCTTCAGAATTTCTTTTTCACAACTTTGATGCCAGGAGAGAGGAGTTACTCTAGGCAGAAGTTCTGAAATATGCCTATTAACTGACCCAATAGAGCAATGATTTTACTGCTATTGATTTTCACAGGATAATCCCAGTACTGATTCTCGC